GTTTTGCACTGAGTTATATCCCAAGCCTTTCTACAAATTTCTTATTTTGTAACAGGGTCTAGATAAACTGTTAAACTGCCCGGATCAGCCTTGAACTTACGGTGATCCTCCTGCCTCAGCCTCCTCAGTGCTAGAATTCCAGGCATGCACCACCATGCCCAGGTTTTGCTTACTTTCTACGCTGTAGACTTACTCATGAACATTTGATTTGGTGAACTGTCAAGATTTTGATGTTAATTATCTTGATGTTGATGTAAGTTATGCTCTCTCAACATAGATGACAATCAAAACTAACACACAAATCATATTCATGTTAGGTCAAATGGTTTGTTATTACATTTTACAGAAGTAAGTTGAAAACTTGGCCAGGTGTGGTAGTGCAAGCCAATCATCCCAACACTTGGAAGCACTGCAAATTCAAGACCAGTGTGGGCTACAACATAAGCCCAGGGCGGGGAGTATAGCTCAGTGGCACAGCGCCTGCCTGGCAAGCGCGATATCCTGAGTTCAATTCCCAGTTAAAAAAAAAAAAAAAAGATAAAAACAGCATGACAAAGTGAGCCCAGTCTGAACTGCATAGCCAGCCCCTGTCTCAAAAAAACAGGAATGAATTTTGAAACTAATGTACCAACTTAAAGAAGCCAGATACAAAGCTATATATTCATATAATCGAGCGAGTGCTCTCGCCTCCTACCTGCACCATGTCTGCTCAGAAGACTTTCAGAATCAAATGATTCCTGGCCAAGAAGCAAAAGCAGAATCGCCCCACTCCTCAGTGGATTTGTATGAAGACAGGTAATAAAATCAGATACAACTCCAAGAGGAGACACTGGAGGAGTACCAAGCTAGGACTGTAAGGAGTTACACACGAGCTGCAACACATTTACTCTCTGGGAGGTCACAAAACAATGTCATCTTTTAATCATGGTCAAGATAATACTGAATAAGATTTTTAAAATTAAAAAAAATAAAAAAATTTCAGAGTAGGTAAATCAAAAGCCAGAAAGTAGGTTAATGATTACCTAAGAATGGTTACTTCAAACAGTGATGGGTAATAGGTACTTTCTTTATAGAGTTATGAAAATGTTATATAAAAGATTCTGGTTCTTTAGATGGCTATACAGCTCTGTGAATATACTACGCACTGATCTACATGCTTTAAAAAGACAGATTATATGTATGTGAATTATCTCTCAATAGTATTTCACGTTTATAGGCTTCCCTACAGTTCACACATTTCTTTCTCTTCCCCCGAGTCAGCACAAAAAAATGGGGACAGTCACCTCAGAGTTCACATGTTTCTAAGGAGCCAAAATCTTTTTTTTTTTTTTTTTTAATATACTGGGAATTGAACTCAGGACCTTGCACTTGCCAGGCAGGTACTGTTCCACTGAGCTATATATCCCTGCCCACCCCCTTTTTGAGACACAATCTCACTATGTGTTCAGGCTGGCCTTGAACTCACTATGTAGACCAGGCTGACCTCCAACATAAGGTGATCCTCCTGCCTCTGCCTACCAAGTGCTGGGATTAAGGGCATGCACCACCACACCCAGGTTGGAATTACACCCTTCCTTAGCCCATCTCTTCATCTGTACAATAGTTATGGATGTCATATCAGGTAGTGGTGGGCTGTATAATGCAAACTGTCCTTCTCCTCACCTGACCTCAGGATGAAAATCAGCTGGGGGGTGGCCTTTTTAACACAACATCAAAGGGTGAAGGGTGAAGGAAGTCAGGGTGAGGAAGATGCCGGGTCCCAGAAAGAGGAAGCTCTGGGATCTGGGGTCACTGCTGAACTGGCAGATGCTTTAGAGGCTAAGAGGCAAAAGCTGGGATCCATAGGCATAATCCATGCTTAGAATTCCAGCATCTGCGAGACTGAGCCAGGAGGAACACTGTGAGCTTATGGCAAGTCTGGGCTATACAGTGAGACCTGTCTCAAAAAACAGCTGGAGGGCCAGTGAGATGGCTCAGTGATCTAACACTCCTGCTTAGGCAATCGAGGGACTGCAGCTTGATCCCCAGCACAAAAGCTGCCCCACCCCCAGGATGGGCTGAGCCAGCCACAATAAAAAAAAAAAAAAAAAAGGTAGAATTCAGGGCCCACTAAGACCAAGAACTCTGGGAAATGGCCCTCTGCTTTGAGCTTGAAACTTTGAAAATGACAACCTCATAAAAAAGATGAATAAGGAATGAACTAAATAAACTTCAGACAACCTGAAGCTGTGGTATCAGAAAAAGATTTCCTCGAGTAGTAGTGACCCTAAGATGAATAAACAAAATATCTTCTCCAGATGAAAATTAGCAGCCAGGCATGGTGGCGCAGATCTGAAATCCTATCATTCAGGAGGTTGAGGGAGGAGGACTGGGCTACAAAGTGAACTCAAGGCCGGCCAGAACTGCACAGCAAGACCCTGTCTCAAAAAGACAAACAATAATAATAATAATAATAATAACACCATCAATGTTGCCCACATATCTATCCTTTTCAGTATCTAGTATGCAATCAAATAAACCTTGGTGTATCAGACAAATAAAACAAACTGAATAAAAAACAGTAGGCCCGGCCAAATAGCTCAGCGGATTAAAGCGCCTGCAAGCACAAGGACTAGGGGTTCGATCCCCAGGCCTGCCATGCCGGCCCCACCCCTGGGGGCGCTGAGATGGTGATTGAGACTGGGCGTGGTGGCACCTGCCTGTAATCCCAGCTCTTGGGAGGCTGTGAACAGGCAGATCTCTACAAGTCTGATCTAGCAGTGAGACCCTGAACACCCTGTTGACCCTTCCCTAAAATACAAAAGAAACACCAGTAAAATCCATCACCAACAAAATAAAACAAGACCCTCTAGAAGCTATATATTAAATACTCATTCACTCACTGGGGCTGGGTGATATAGCTCAGCAGCACAGCACTTTCCTGGCAAGCGCAAGGGCCTGAGTTCAATCCCCAATTCAAAAAAAAAAAAAAAAAAAAAGAAGAAGAAGAAGAAGAAGAAGAAGAAAAAAAAAAAAAAAAAAAAAAAGAAGAAGAAGAAAAAGACAAAAGTATTACATTAATAGCCGGGTATGATGGCACACCTCTGTAATCCCAGCACTGCAGAGGCTGAGGCAGGACAATCACTGGGATTTGAAAGTCAGTCTGGGCTACACAGTGAACTCAAGATCAGGCTCAAAAACCTCATACCTAACATAGTTTGAAAGAGGAAGGGTTTATTTTTGTTCATTTTCAGAGCTTTCAGTCTCTGATCATCTGGCCCCAGGCAGAAGCATCCTAGCAGGACAACACAGCAGGCTCAGCTACTCACTTCATGGGCGCCCAGAAGCAGAGCAGTGGAACAGTCCCAAGGAGTCCAGAGACCAGGCACGGAGCCCGAGCTCACGGCTCCAAGACCCATGCACAGACACCCACAAGTGTGCTTTACCAAACCTTAGGCATCTCTCTAGCCAACCAAGTTCACAATACCAAGGAAAATGTGGCACAAAATGGTCCTGGGAAGCCTGGATGTCTTCATGCAAAAGTATGAGGCTAGGATCTTTATAGCCATACACAAAAACTAACAAAACGGCTTACAGTTGGGGATTGGGGCACATGCCTGTAATTCCAGCGACTTGGAATGCTGAGTCAGGAGGATCACAAGTTCAAGGCCAGTCTGGGCAGCTCAGCAAAATCCTGGCTCCAAATAAAAACTGGCTGTAGCTGTAGCTCAGCATTAAAGAACTTGTCTAGCATGCATGACACCCTGTGCTCAAGCCCTAGCACCAGAAAAAAAAACAACAAAATGAATCAAAGACCTAAATGAGAGAGCTAAAATAATATTTTTAAAAGAAAGCTGGGCATGGTGGCACACTCCTGTAATCCCAGCACCCAAGAGGCTGAGGCAGGAGGATT